ATGTTTATTTTACATCTTTTTAAGTTTTTGCAGACCCTTAAATTCATTTTTTGTATTTATAGGCCATAATTGAAATCAGAACAAGGCTAATGTTCTCTTTAAAAGCCTTTTGCTGCTGATATTCAGGTACAATTTCTTGATTGTTTGTTTGTTTTTTGCTTTCAGTCATCCCTCATGGCAGCCTCTTCTGATCAAGAATTTGAAAAACAGAAATCAAGTAGCAACACAGTACGTTAAGCTTGTGGAAAGCTGTCAGTTATGCTTTTTTTTACTTTAATAATATTAAGTAGTCACAGAAGATTTAGAAAGAAATGTTTTCTTCAAAGTTTTCTCCCTGTAAACTTAGACAATCAACAACAGGTATTTCTTTTGTTCTTGTTTGAACTGGAGCTTAGACTCAAAGTAACCATAATATAATGATATAGGAGACTATTTTGTGAGACTTGTCAGTCCCCGGTTTTAAAATCCCATGGGGAGTCTTTTCCGTTCAGCTGCAAGGCTCGCTGTTTCTGGTGAATTGCGAGTTTGAGACTCCACTAAAGCGCTGAAACTTATCAGGGCTCAAAATTTTTGAAACAATATGTACATGTAGTTTATATTCCCACAAACATGAAAATAGAGCCAAGAGCTAACATCTTCAAACGGCTGCAGGCCATGCCTTATTGGTACTTAATTTCACATCAAATATGCGTTTACCAGTTCCAGTTTACCTTGAAAGCTACTTCTAGAGTATGTGTGGTATTCAATATTAGTAAAATCCAACTAGTGTTCTATTATCAATGCTGCGATCTGATTGGTTGGGCTACTACTAGGCTATATGTTATAGCCTACTACCCTTGTGAAATGAATTCCCAGAGTTCTGGGAATTCCTAGGAATTCCAATTTATTCCAAGACATGCAAATGAGCAAAGATAAAAAACCTTGAAATATTTGGGAATACTTGGGAATGGGTGAAAACACCAGTGGGAATTTTTGGGAATTCCTAGGAATTCCCAATAATTCCAAGTTTGAAGGAAACTGTCTTTGTAACTTATGGGAATTATTGGGAATTGCTAAAACACCAATGAGAATTTGTGGGAATTCCTAGGAATTCTCAATAATTCCAAGTCATTGTTAACTTCGGAACATTGGCTTAAATTTTTAGGAAAAACGATAAGTGTTCAAAAGTGATGAAAAGCGTAAAAAATTTTAATAATCATTTCTTTGCCTATAACAACAAGGATTTCTTGACATTAACCAGCATCTATATACAACATTTATTGCGACTAAAATCTTTAAAAAAAATTATCAACAATAAGCAAGATACTGAAAGCTAAATTAATTCAAAGTGCCACTTCTCACAGGAAAAAATAACAGATTCCCATCATTGGATATTTTAGGGTATTTAAAGAATACCCATAAAAATCCCCAGTTTGGCAAAGTGAGACAAGTCCCAACTAGGAATCTCAACCAAGTCCCCTGGTTGGGACTTGCCTCACTCTTCCAAATTTGGGATTTTGGTGGGTATTCTTTAATACCCTAAAATATCCAAAAATGGGAATCTGTTATTTTTTCCTGTGGATCTCGTACCTGAGCTTTCCAAATATGTCCACAACACGTTTTTCATCGCGGCTTTGCCTAATAAAAGGTCATCGCTTCTTGAAAAAACAATACGAACTTTTCCTCTCGCTGCTTATACCTCAAAAGCGTTGGAATATTTTATTTAGCTCTGAAAACGACCGCTTTTTTCAACTTGCTCATCATCGAGTAAAATCATCCGCCATATCTGAGCTATACTGGTTACCAGTCTCCCCACTAAGTGAATTGCGTCGTCACGTGCGCCTTTTGAACCAATGGAAAAGTGTGAAATGAAGTTCAAATTCACGCGGACTTTCATTAGAAAGGGCAGGAGTATTTTGTATCTGAAATTGACGTTATTTTAAACGCGGATAGAGTACTAAAGAGATGACGTCATAAAAATGAAATTTCTGAAATTATGGGATTTGTCAGGATATTCTGAAAGAACAATGTCCAAGAGGCCTACTTGCCAAAAATGAGCATTTCGGGGCAAATTGTCTCTGAGATAGTAGCCCAGTTATACTCTGAAAACTCCATACAAACCCTTCTAATTTTTTTGGGGTCGACCCCAAAAAAATTTGGAAGGATTCGTATGGAGTTTTCTAAGCATAGCTGGGCTACGATCTCAGAGACAATTTGCCCAGAAATGCTCATTTTTGGCAAGTAGGCCTCTTGGACATTGTTTTTTCAGAATATCCTGACAAATCCCATAATTTCAGAAATTTCATTTTTATGACGTCACACTTTAGTACTCTATTGTTCATTTATTTTGTTGTTGACACATGAAACTTCCAGTCATGTCCGAGAACGACAAGTCAGCTGCATTGTGAAAGGTAAAGGTACGTTCCTGCTTCGTAATGTGTCTTCTGATGGTAACCACGTACTACTCAAATAATGAAGCTGGAGATCAAAGTTAACTTAGGGCCTCTTCCTATGAGCCCGGTTGACCGGGCTGGCTCGGTTACCGGGATGAATTTTGCTTTGGGTTCATATGAGAAATTTCAGCCCAGTTTCGGAGATGAAAAAAGGTCAAAGATCCTGGATACGAGTTCTGGCGCCAAATTTAGGAAACAAAGCAAACATAGCGAAACACAAAAATTTTAACTTTTGGGCCTATCTTAGCATCGGTAACTCTTAAAGCTGTATCACTGCAGTTAAATGGGATGCTTATGATGTGGAAAATACAGCAGGCAATGCAAGACGATGCCATCCGGACCGCCAGAATTCATCCCGCCGTTCATCCTGGTAACCGGGATGAAGTGTTCATATGGCAAAATTTCCAGCCCCCTTGCCGAGATCTCGGTTGGAAAAACCGAGATCTCGGGAACCGAGCCAGCCCGCCCTCTCATATGAACACATCGAAAATTTTACAAAGGATTTAGAGGTGAGGCGAGATCTCGGAAACCGGGCCAGCTCGGTCAACCGGGCTCATATGAAGAGGCCCTTATAGATCGTTCCGATATATGAACACGAAACTTCAAGATGCATGGAAAACCATTTATTGGTTCCTTTTTGTTTGCTGGAGACATAACCGTAGTCGTTGTTGCAAATGGCTGTTGGAATCCTACATGAATAAGCTAATGATACTCTATCAGATTCTGACTGGAACTCGGATAACTCGAAATCCCCGCCAAGTCGAACTAAATTTGCTTTCTCTTGATCAAGATTTCACTGAAATTTACCCCGATAACTCGAATTCCCCGCTTAAAGCTATTTTTCGTTTCCCTTTGGAGTTCGAGTTCACCGCCGGGGTTCTACTGTAGTCATGAACAAGTATGTTTCAACGCCATGTACTACAAGTATTTTAGTTTCCAGTTCATTATTTTGTTCTCAGTTTGAGACCTGAAGTAAAAGTGCGGCTTAATAAGGGCTTAGCAGATAAGCTTGCTGGAAGCAAGTTGGCCTGACTTTTTCTTTTTTACATATATGTTCCCGTTGTAAAAATAATTCAATCAAGACTCTTTTGCTGTATGTTCCAGTTACAAATGTGTCCCACAGTTTTTCAATAATGACTCAAGAACAATTTATACCTCAGGGCCCAGTTGTTCGAACGCCGGTTAGCGCTAACCCGGGGTTAAATTTTAACCCGGGTTCTTTTTCTTTTTATCAAAAGCAATCTCTTGGGTAATTTTCCATATTCGTTTTAAACTATCCAATCATCAAATTGTAGGCAAAGAGAATTACACTGAATTTGTTTTTTAAGCTCTCATATTTGAGTTCAAATTTTGCACTAACCCTGGGTTATCTTAACCCAGCTTCGAACAACCCGGCCCAGGACTTTAATTGTTTTATTCAATTTTTTAAAAACACAAAACATTTACCATAAGATATGATTTTGAACATTATTATCAGAAACTTTTTTAAATGTAATTTCCATGCTTTCTCCAGTTGGTGATTAATCATTAAATTTGCCTATACTTTACTATCCTGGCACTGGATGTTGATTGATGACATGATGTTAAACCTGTAAACTCCTAGAATTCCTAGGAGTTCTTAAGAATTCCTAGGAATTACTCAGGGGCACCCAACGTCAATTTTCGGAAAATATCTCATTCGGAAGACGATTTGAGATCTAGAATTTTCGGAACGTTTTTTGTAAAATTTCTCGCTTGCCTACCTCTCCTAGGATTTTTCGAACATCTGAAAAGGTATAATTGCCCATTTTTAACGGATTTTTACCCTAAAAAGCTCACCTCGAAATTTCGGGAGCCTTTTTTCTGGCTGTAATTTTCGAAAAGGTAAGTTTCGATCCCTATAATTTTCGGATCTCCAGACTTTCAGCTAGGAAATCCGAACAGATGAAAGGGGATAAAAATATGCTTATATCTACCGTTTAAATACTAAAATACGTTTAACAATGCTATGTTTAAGTGGTTTTGAGTTATATTCTCGTTGGGTGCCCCTGATTACTAGGAAATCTAGCTTTAAGCAGCTAAATTTTTTTTGTTCTCGATATTTTTGACCAACTAGTTGGATTTTACTGAAACAATTATTCCTCTCGCCCTCATTGCCTCTGAGTCAATAGCCCATTCGGCCTTTGGCGACATGGGTATTGACTCAGAGCCCATTCGGGCTCGAGGAATAATTGTTAAATATACTGATATGGGATTTGTTCTGGCCTATTCTCATGTGCGACCGTAGGTAGTTAGGATTTTGTTAGACATAGTTAATGTAGTTCATGTTAGAGACGGTCTGATTCCTATTAAGCCCAAGATTCTAAGAATTCCCAGTATTTGATGAACCGTTCGACAGGTCTAGTAATAGGGTGCAGTGAAACATCTCAGCAAATAATATATTATCAGTTTATAAAATGTCGGCGTTGTAGGCTTTTGATGGTAAAATATATAACATATAAAACAATTATTGTTTTAATCTGACTTTTGCAGGCTGATAATTGTCCTCCGATCACCACCTCAAGCCTTACTTCACGAGTAGAACCAGGTCAAGGTGACGCTTTTTCTACCAGCAGGTCAGTACTAAACGTTACCCTTCTGGGAAGTGAATGGAATTCCTCAGAAGGTGGTTTGTCAACTTTCAACAGGGAACTTGCAATTTACCTTTCAAAACACCCCAAAGTGGAAGTGACATTGTTAGTTCCAGAGGGAGTTTGTAAAGATGAGGAGAAAAGAGAAGCCGCAAGCTATGGGGTTACTATCATCGAGGCAAAGAAACAACCAGGCTATGATCGTCTTCACTGGTTAACCTGCCCACCTAAAGATCTCAGTATTGATGTGATCGTTGGACATGGTGCGAAACTTGGTTGCCAAGCACAGATAATACGAAGTAATGTCAAATTTAGTAACTGTAAGTGGCTGCAAGTGGTGCATACGGCTCCAGAAGACCTCAGCAAGTTCAAAGATGACAATGATCCCCTTTCAAAAGGTGAAAAAAAGCATCATGTTGAAGTCGAGCTTTGCGAACTTGCCGATCTTGTCATTCCTGTTGGACCACGATTGACCGAGTTTTTCTCTACGTATTTACGCGGCTGCAAAAATGATAACGACTTGTTTTTGTATACTCCAGGACTTTTCGAAAGGGAATTCGGGGATTTAGAACAAGCTGCTTGTGAAAATGCAGACTTTAGAGTTTTAATATTTGGTCGTGGCTCTAAGAAGGATTTCGAGGTTAAAGGGTACGACATTGCTGCCAAAGTATTTACGGACGTAAGATTAAGGAAGAAGCGTTATCAACTGATCTTTGTTGGAGCACCTGAAGGAAAGCAAGACGAGGTTAGAGAAAGACTTTTGAAGTTCGGTATTGCTAAAGAGCAGCTGATTGTCAGAGAATTTATAAAACGCAGAGACAAAATAAAAAAATTGTTGTGTGAAGTTGATCTTGCCATCATGCCGTCAAAATTAGAGGGATTTGGACTCGTCGCCCTTGAAGCCTTGTCTGCAGGCCTCCCCATTCTTGTAGGCAGTAGGTCAGGATTTGCCGAAGCGTTAGAGAATGTCCTTCATGGTAGTGCATGCATTGTGTATTCAGATGATCCTGCAGAGTGGGCAAAATCAATTGAAGCTGTACGTGTCAGACATGGAATGCGGCTTAAAGAGATCAAAGCTCTGAAAGCATCGTATGGAAAGATGTACAGCTGGAAGACGCAGTGTGAAGCTCTTGTGGAGAGGATGTGGAAAATGGTCTATGGTAGGGTAGATGCACTTTAGTAATTTAGTAAGCTGGCGTAGTTAGTTTTACCTTATCGTGGTACAGCGATGGTCGTCTGAACATGTCACAATAAACTTACCCGCAAGAGAGGATAAAGGGGACAGCGAAGGCATCCCCCATACACACCCTATTCCATAGGTAATTCGTCTCGAGTTATTTTTAGAATCGGGATAAAGTAACCGCGCGCGCTGCGTGGATGTTTCGTGGAGGTTTCGCATGACTAAACGCCGTGCAAAACATGTCGGGCGAAAGGCAATGAAAGCGTAAAGAGATCGAGAGCATTTCTGAATATTGAAGCGAAATGAGTCGGCGCTCACCTGGGAAAAGGGAATTGCTGCACTCTTTGACAACCCGTGAAATCAGTTTAACTCTAAGTTGTCGTAACCTCAGTGCTTTAATAAAATGAGAAATTTCGCCGGTCTATTGAAACCGGTCGTTTGTATAATAAAGCAAGTAGGACGCCAAGTGTTATTTTTGTTGAATAATAAAAGACTAACAAAAGGAAAAATATCAAACCAGAAATTGCTCTCTTCAAACTGTAAATTATAAATGATCCTGAGCGAATACCGGTATTCAGTGTGTTAAGGATTAGCCTGCCGTAGTGTTAGTTCTACACAAGAGAGGAAGGGCGATTCTTTTTTAATATCCGTTTCGCTGACACAGCTTTAGCAGAAATCTCTCTTTACTCGTTTTCGTCGACAAAACAAATAGCAATATCGCTCTCCGCGTCTTCCGCCATTTTTTTCTGCGTCAATTCGTGAAGGACGCGTGGCTCTGAGCGTGGGTCATCCGCGTGGAACACATTCGCGCTATGTGATTTGCTGTTGTCTAATCCCCCTTGGGATCTATGGTCTTAAAAATAACTCGAGACGAATTACCTATGGAATAAGGTGTGTATGGGAGATGCCTTCTCTGTCCCCTTTATCCTCTCTTGCTTACCTGCTATTGGCCGGGCGACTGCAGCTTGCTGAAAAAAAACTTTGACCGGCTGAGGTAGAAGCCCTTTTAAACCTAATAAGCATCACTTTCTTTTTGTAAATGAAAATTATAGCACGTCGTACTAACAAAGCACTATTCCGTAAGGATTAATTATTCGTTTCGTTTCGAATATCGTAGAAGTAAAAGTACAAGAGCCAACCATCCATACAAACTAAGGAAATGAGCTAAAGTTAACTCCTTTAAGTACTCCTTCTTTGTAAGAATCGTCAAAGACTGGAACAGTTTGCCAAACCATCTCTTCACTGATGAAATCAACGTTCACTAATTTAAAAAAGGCTTAAAAAGGTGAATGAAAATTTATTGACACAGTAGCTCATATGTATTGTAATTGTATATATCTTCATTTTAAATCATCATTCTTACTTCTTTCTATACCATTTTTTACCTGCACTAATGATTTTTACGAGCGTTTTTCATTATTTTTAATATTTTTAAAGTTCAGTCAGGGGACCTTTCATAGGGATAACCTCGCGGTCCACCTTTTCAAATATGCAGCATGTTTATATGCATATGTATTTGAATAAAGTATTATTATGATAATTCGGCTAACGGGATTGTGGTTCCCCGGACGGAAGTATCGGATACGTCACCGAGATGCACCATCATGTAAAGGCCTGAAAAAAAAAAACTGAAAACGCGGCTTAAAGATTACGCATGCATATAATTTACAAATTATTCGTGTACCTTTTTTTTTCGTTGAACATCAACCTCATTTCTTGTGAGAAGCGAATTTGCTATTGTAACGAAAGCTTTTTTTTTTTTTCTCACAGGGTCCTCCTGGGAAAGTAACAAAAGTCGAAGAATAGACTCCTCTGCTCATGACGAGCAGTTTGTTTGTCAAACGTCCCTAAATCGTAACTCTGAAATGAAAGCTGATGATGCATCTGGAAATCAAACTGAAGTATCCACAATGGAAGGCCATCGGTCTCAAAACAACCGAAAGCGTAAAATTTCAGGATCTTCCTATGATCCAGGTATGGCATAACTGAAAGGGCGGGGTGAGTTGTTCGGTTTTACAGTGGTGCTTTTCTACGATACACCTTTTTACTGTTTGAATTTTTATCTTAGCAGTGTGAAAACCGATTTTAAGGATGGTCGTGAATGAACTACAATATGTATTTAAAATGATTAACCTATCTAGTGATAATTCTTTCCCAATTTCAGCGTTACATTCAGTACTTGCATGGTGAAGAAAAAAAGAAAGATTGCATGGAGGCCTGATCAACCTCTTTCGCGGGGGCAAGTAGGAGAGAACCCTAGGAACGAGGTTGGAGAGCTGATATGATTTGGATTCTGCCCATATTTCGATAAGAACTTTCTCAGTGATGTTATCCTCGCAGGCACTGTTATCTAGACCTGAGGGATAAACGGGAGGAAGTAGTCCATTAAATTTCGACAACACAAATACAATGTACACTTAATATCGTAGGGCTTTAACCGCCGATAGAGTGTCCGCTGTGATTGAACATATGCAGGATGCGCACAACTTGGCCTTGAAATTTGTGGGCATCGGATCTCTCTTACTGTTGCCCACTTGTACAACTAAAGGGCAGCTGGGTTTTTCGTACAGAATTTTTTACCTTTCACCCTGTCGCAGTAATACGTCACCAATTCACGGTAACTGTCAACTCAGATTCAACACAGATTTTATCTTGGGCTCGAGAATACTACAAACCGGGGCACTAGATTTTACACCTGAACTATCATGCAATAGACAAGAGACCTTAAAGTCTCTTGAGTAATCTAAAATACGTTTCTGGTAATATTTCGGGTTTTCTCAATGAAGGCTTGCCATTTTTCAGTGGTATTTTGTTTGTTTTCAGACATTATTACCAAGCACCGTTACCAGGACCTGAATGATAATCAGAGGAAAATAATCCATGAAACTCTTGAACAACAAATACAATTGTACTTTCGACATCGCACTGTTTACTCTGAGGAAGGAGTGTCTGGTCTGATCGAATATATAGTTGACACGCACAAGGTGGCCACGAAATCTGTTGGTTTGGGGTCTCTAGAAATAACGTTTCGTTGCCCCACCCTGGAGAGTCTTGAGAGTCTGTGGAGTGACTATCAGTCTGGTCACCTTAATGACATTGCTGAGAGATACCTTGTGACAGAAGACATAAAGAAGAAACTCAACTTGCAAAATATCAGGTTAAAGACAACTATTGAAGAAGAAAACTACAGCAACTGCAAGAAGATTTTAGTGGAAAAGTCAGGTGAGTTTAACATTAAGATTTAGCTAAAATAAATTAATACCGGTGACTTACCCACAGTGGGTAAAGGTGGCCCGAACCTATTTATTTGCGCGTTGGTTATGTTTTTGAATCGGGTTTTTCGGTAGGAATGATTTAAGGTGGCTCGACTGGATTTTTTGGGGTTTATACCTCCCAAGTTTGAGCATTAACTACGTCGGCATGAGTAAAGATATCGAAAAAAGGTTACCACAACTGTACTACATAAAGATGAAAATTTCTTATGATCTGGGTTTTATTGCAATCGGAGTCGCCATGGCAACGTAATGACGCCATTACGTTTTTCATTTATCCTTGTGTTTCTCTATACCAGGAGTTTTTTGAAGAAATCGCTTAAGGGAGTATGTACCTGCCATAATTGCCTCCATTATTGCAAAGTTTGAAGAAATTCTATGAGAGCGTTTTCGAAATATTTCGAAATGCAGTTTTAAGAATCATCAAAGCAGTGAAATAGCATGTTAGCCGCTCAATTCGCTAATATTTAAAGAAAATGATAAGCTTTGGGAACGCGGCTTCATCTCATGGTGGTTTGATTCCATTGAAAACTGCATACAAAAAAAGAGGGGAATTGCTCTGGGCGATCGCGAGTAAGAAGAATTTTATTAACTTGCATTCAGCTGCTTTTGATACAGTTTTTGGAGGTAATTTGGTCCATGCCTAAGAATTTCGCATTTTTCCAAAAACCGCTCGATAAATTTTTTTATAAATTCGACAATCCCGAGATCAATTGTCAAGAAATATTCCCTGCAAGTTTCAAGAACATTGAAAACAGGGAAGGCTTTTAAATAGGGACTCAAACATAACCAATTTTCCCCCCAGATTTTGTGTTTACAAGTGAGCGTCTTCATTATTCACTGGCATTGTTTTCAAGTTTCATATGCACGTGCACAACTAGCAAAAAATATAAATTTGCATCAAAAAGAACTCTCGATTACTTTCCGAAGAAATATCCGGTATATGCTAATAATTGGCTTGTCGTCACAGATAGCAGTGAGAGCCGAAACGGTGAACGTCTCGGCTCATCGTGTAGGAGGCAATACTTAATTATCTTACTCGGGTTATAACATCACAGAAACTCTCACAAAGAGTTGCTCTGATGTTATAATGTATCACTAACCTCTTTACCCGGTAATTAGCATATCCCGAAGATTTAACCGAGGGTCCTTTTTGATGCAAATTCTATCTTTTTGCTAAATGTGCACGTGTATATGAAACTTGAAAACAATGCCAGTGAATAATGAGGACGCTCACTTGTAAACACAAAATCTGGGGGGAAAATTGGCTATATTTGAGGCCCTATTTAAAAGCCTTCCCTGTTTTCAATGTTCTTAAAACTTGCAGGGAATATTTCTTGACGATTGATCTCGGAATTGTCGAATTTATAAAAAAATTTATCGAGCGGTTTTTGGAAAAATGCGAAATTCTTAGGCATGGACCAAATTACCTCCAAAAACTGTATCAAAAGCAGCTGAATGCAAGTTAATAAAATTCTTCTTACTCGCGATCGCCCAGAGCAATTCCCCTCTTTTTTTGTATGCAGTTTTCAATGGAATCAATCCACTATGAGATGAAGCCGCGTTCCCAAAGCTTATCATTTTCTTAATATATTAGCGAATTGAGCGGCTAGCATGCTATTTCACTGTTTTTATGATTCTTAAAACTGCATTTCAAAATATTTCGAAAACGCTCTCATAGAATTTCTTTAAACTTTGCCATAATGGAGGCAATTATGGGAGGTACATACTCCCTTAAGCGATTTCTTCAAAAAACTCCTGGTACAGAGAAACGCAAGGATAAATGAAAAACGTAATGGCGTCATTACGTTGCCATGGCGACTCCGACTGCAATAAAACCCAGATCATAAGAAATTTTCATCTTTATGTAGTACAGTTGTGGTAACCTTTTTTAGATATCTTTACTCATGCCGACGTAGTTAAGGCTCAAACTTGGGAGGTATCGCCCTAAAAAAATCCAGTCGAGCCACCTTAACCGATTTCCATGATTTTTGGCATCTTTAATAAAGAATGGTCGAACTTTGGGAAAATGATATTTATTTTCTTAACCCTAAGACAGATTTTTCTCTAACTTCGGCAAATAAGCCTCAGAGCTCTCTAATTTTATATCTGCAAGTTTGAAGTCAATCGTGACCGTAGAACTCGCTGCACAAATAGCTGGTCAAATTTAACCTTAAAATGCAACGCTAAAACATTTGTGAAAGTTGACACACCAATAGAGGACAACTGCCGGCGGACTATCTCCTATCTGCAAGGGTATTCTTGCCCAAAGCTTCAGTTGCAAGAAACTGAGTAATCACAAACCTACGGCGAATACAGTTCGCAATACAAGAAGAACAACTTTTTGCTGAATTCGGGGCATGATTAAATAACTTCTATTTATCAAAATTACTGTATTTTCCCTTCTCTTTTCGCCCAAAAAATCTAAAGAAAGCAGGGTATAACATCAACGGAAGTCTCCTACCAGTTTTTAGCACTGAAGCTTCCCCTTTTGAGGAGAAATAAAGCCACCAACTCCAGTACTTCAACCGATCCATTTTCAGCTGCAACGAAAACCCGTGTATTAGGTAATTTATTCAAGTTTGAAAGATTTGCCATTACATTCGCACGGGCCTTTTGCCATTGGGGATAGTGAAAAGAATAAGACGATTGTCATATTTTCTTCATCTTTATCCCCAAGTGGCAAACTTCCCGTGCGAATGTGATGTCAAGTCTAAAAACCTTGAATAAATTACCAAGTAAAAGGGCTTTCAGTGCAGCTGAAAAATGGACGGTTAGAAGCGCTGGAGTTGGTGGCTTTATTTCTCCTCAAAACGGAAACCTGCGACGCTAAAAACTCTTGAAAGTTTTTCGTAGATAATATAATTTGCCTCGTTAAGATAGGTTTCGAAAAGAGAGGGACAAATACGCAGTAACTTTGATAAATAGAAATTATTTTATATTGCCCCGCATTCAGCATAAAGTTGTTCTTCTTGTATTGCGAACTGTATTCGCCGTATGTTTCTGATTACTCAGTTTCTTGCAACTAAAGCCTTGGGCAAGAATACCCTTGCAGATAGGAGATAGTCCGCTGGCAGTTTTTCTCTAGTTCGTGCGTCAACTTTCAAAAATGTCTACGCGTTGCATTTTAAGGTTAAATTTGACCAGCTATTTGTGCAGTAAGTTCTCCGGTCATGATTGACTTCAGAGAGCTCTGAGGCTTATTTGCCGAAGTTAGAGAAAAATCTGGCTTAGGGTTTTGAAATTATTGACATTTTTTGAAAAATGCGGTTTTAAACATATGCCGATATCTCAAATGCTTTTATACCTACAAGAAAATGAATAACATTCCTGAAGGATGCCAAAAATCATGGAAATCGATTAAATCATTCGTGCCGAAAAACGCGAATCAAAAACATAACTAACGCGCATATAAATAGGTCCGGGCGTACCTTCCTTACTGAATTCCCTGAATCCATTCTGAGTTGAATGAAATGGCCGTGTGGGGAGAGTTTTATTTTTGTAGGTCTTGAATGATAATAACGCAGATGCTGCTGAGTTTTTTATTACAATTCTGAAATAGCTTTTGCTTATTACCCGAAAGATAAATGAAAACACATGAAAGTAAACTAAAATAATATAAGCATTCGTGACAAAGGTGTGCTAGATACACTAGCTTTACTTCATTGTGTGTTAGCAGTGTTAACAAGCAGCATTGGCTTTTCACCTGAATCAGATCAAGAAACAGTGGACTTTTTACGGTTTGACCCAAGCTCAGAAGTTTCTAAGGTGGGATGGTATAACTGTTAATATTATATAACGAACAACTGCATTACAAAAAATACGTTTTGTTTTCTTTGGGGAAAGACCTAGAACAGCAAATAATTTATTTAACAATTTCGGCTACCAGTATTGAACTATAAATTGGTAAATCTACACAAACTGCTCGGTTCGCGTTCAGGTGTTTTGCAGTGCATTCACTGAGAAATGAGAGATTGACTCTATAGACTACAATTTATAAGCGTTACAACAACTTAAAACTTTTTTCACAAGAGGCCAACTCGGGATCGAAAAGCTACGAGTCTGTCGATAGAAAAAACGAGAACTCTTTCATATTTCAGTAAGTAATCGTTTCTGCGAGGATAAAGAACATGTATTAAAAAACAGACTCATCAAACTTTATTAATGCCGTATATTTCAGAGCACGAGTTATTGAAAAAAGTAATTTTCAATAGAATATATTCTAAAAATATTCTTAGTTCTTAACAACCTTGGCTCCTCGTAGACGTTCCTCAAAACTCTGGACTATTTTTCGGCACTGTGTCAGGATATAAACAGATGTTTTTTCGCAGCTACTCCTCATGAGTAGATAACACCCATCGAGTGATATGTTGTGCGTATTCTTGTCATTTTCATCTTTAATTCACTCGGGAATAAACACTAGTTGTCTCGCCTGGAAACTAGGTTGATCGATGGTTTATGTAATTTATACCATCGAATCAATTGTAAATTGCTACATCTTCCAAATATGGTAAGCGCCAGTCGGTTACGAAGAACTAGACGTGGGATTGGAGCCAATCAGAAACAGCGAAATATTTTGAATGAATAATAATTAGGTATACTGAGACATTCACAATATAGTATCGTATCGATGGTATATTTGCTCTAACTATGGTCACCGCCAGCTGGTTATGGAGAATTATCCGGGAGATTTTAAAAGCCAATCAAAAACGATGAATTATTTGGAATGACTAACAAATTTGTTTAACAATCTTAGGACAAGAACCAGGTTCTGACCCATAAGGAGAGAGCTGAGAAAGCGAAAGTAAGTTCAGCCGTATTGGTAGTGTAGGTGTGCGCTCGTTGTCCATTTAATCAACGGAAAACAAATATGAAAACTTGAAATCTGTGAAAGATTTAGTAATTCCATATTATTAACGACTTTCTCGTAAATCAGAGCTCAGGTTTATTATGAGTTGCAGCATTGTCCTTCTTCCTGTATGCAATGGCTAGGACGGCCTGGAGGACTTTGTACTGTATTGGTGTGTTACTAGTGTCTCCAGTATTTATCCAGATGCTGATAGTAAAGTTATCGGAATGGAAAAGAATTTTAAAACTCGTGATTGCTGGCTGCATGAGGCTTGCTAAAAGTCGGTTTTAGAGGATTGGCAAGTTTTGTCGACCTAAGGTCGCCCACCAAAATTTAATCAATGGCTATATCATTCGAAATATGGAAATACTTGTCCATGCTCAATCCACGTACTGCGCGCGTACCAATTTATAACCTCGGCTTTGCAGAAATGTTGAACTTCCCCGCGCGTTAAAACCATTATTATACATTGTGCTCACTATCTGTATTCTCATTGGCTTAGAGCCTACAGCTAATTTTGAAAATCAGCGCAACTTGCAGATTAGTTAGTCATCTGCCAGAGATAACTGACTGATTTCCAATAATAGTATCAATTCACATTCCTTGCGACGGTGTATTTGTCGTTATTTTCTTCAAAACAATGTATAATAAAACAATTTTTGGATTCGGTTTTTGTTATATCCTAAATAAGCAGGGTGTCGGTAGGTGTTATCAGCTTCGACCTTCGGCTCGGCTGATAACACTTACCTCGACCTCGATTATTCCGGATATCACAAAAACCTCGTCCGATTATTGTTTATTACTTTACGTTGACCGATTTTGTCATTGCAATTTATTAACTTTGCCAAAACAATAAGATAAGAAAAATTGTTCACACTACAAAAGTTAACTAGAATATAGCAAACATTTGTTTGTTTGTTTTTGACAGAAGTTAGGCCTAGAAGAGGTGTGTCAGATCTGTTATAACTTAAATTGTAATCATTTAGTGCAAGGTGTGTAGAAATGGATTGTTATTCACCTTCTGATAAAAAACAGGCGTCAAGAGGTTCTCTACACAAGGCTGCTATTAGTGGACGATACGAGACGGTCAAAATGCTTCTTGAAAGTGGTGAAGATGTGGATCAAAGAGATCAGGTTTTATTTAAGTTTTTTTTGTTATCGGGCCGGTTAGAAAACTTAAAAGGGTAATATGGACCTAAGCTGCCTTAAAACAAGCCTGTACTTGCGGAATGAATTTCTGATCCCACCTCGACACCTCGCTCGTGCTTCGCACGAGATTGGAGTTAATCGAGATGAGTTCTTAAACTTTTTCTTAAGGAAACTCACCCTTTAATTATTAAGCAAGTTTTAGCGTTTTTTGCTGTAGACTGTAAATTTCAGTTTCAAATGGATATATCAGAATGTCGATTATATGTTGGTTTACCTGTGGAAGGATGTAAGATAGCTTTAAGCTGGTTCTATAAAACTGAGCCCAATAATTTCCAATAATTTTGCTAGTTCCCTTTTTTAACCTTCTTAACCTGCTCTGTCTATCTTTTCGTTAGTTTTCTTTAACTCCTCTTCATCTTGCCTGTTGGTATGGACAGGAATCTGTTGTCAAACTCTTGTTAGAATACGGTGCGAACGTCAACGCTGAAGACAGGGTGAGTTCAGTCGATGGTTAAACGCGTAATTTTTGTCCTTGAATAAAGAGGCTGTTTTTAAAATAACCTGTGTTGTTTTAAGCTAGAAGAGCAAGATTTGGGATTTATTAATCGAGATCACGTATTTTGGTTCTCTTAAACCCTTTATAATGTGAAAGTGATGTTTTATAAAAGCGCAGGTTTAGTAAAAGCGCATTCAGTAACCCTGCGTTGAATTCTAGTTATATTCTTCTCTTTCAATGCATGAAAATTTTGCCAAAAAAAACAACAATGAAAGGAGTGAAAAAAATTTCTTTAGGCCTAAAGTGTGTTTGGTGATTAATTTTCACAAAAGTGAATCAATGTTAATGCTAATCTGGTTTCTCATCAGAAAAACTAAATGGCTTTATATTTAATATTAATTAAGTTGCCTGTGTTAGTTGTTTAATGACGCTCGTCTTTTGTTTTCTTGCATGTTTTGAGTAATACATCAATAACCAGGATAACGAGTTCAGTTTGCGCTGCTTTTTCCTAGTTTCAACGTACCCCTCTGCAAAAAGCGGAACGCCACAATCATAACTCCATCGTGCAGTTGCTCATGAACAGTAATGCGAGGCCGAGTTACCAACAACCGGTAAGATATACACTGCATGTAAGGGTACGCTTTTCGGTAAATTAAAACAAGAGCTCTTCATTCAACTAAGATTCAACATGTTACGAAAAGTAATTAGGATATGAAACCTTGAAGACTTTGAAAATAGCGATATGGCCAGAGAAAACGCACTTGCAGACTCTCAGAGAATTGAGTGTCTCTTTGTCATGAAAAGTTTATATCCTTTAAAAGTGGCGGGCAATAATTACCCCTCCTTTTATTCGAATGTTGTTTATCAGTGAATGGTAATGAATTGACTGGTTGCTGTGTTGGTTTAATTCTCGTTTCGAGAAAGGAACAATAGCAAGAAATCTAGTCACGTAAACGTGCTCGAGGGTATAAATTGTTCCGTGCAAGGACATTCAAGGAGCGAAAAAAGGAGAACAGTAGCTGTTTTACAAATCAATGATACAAAAAGGTAGATAAATCTTTTTATACCATTTTATTGCGCCTTAATAGTCCGATCTCGCGAGGTTTGTTCCTTTTTTGGTTATATCATCATAGTCTTACAAAGTATAAAGGAAAATAGCGAGAGACACACTCCGGCTAATTTCTATAGCGAAACACATTCGAGCACTTAGTTTGATTTTGAAATAGAAGGGTATTTTAAAACATTTAAAGAATACGACTTGTTTTGGATACATTAGTATCCATCGCCAGTTCACAGAATTGTGACCATGTATAAAGTTTGATAACTAACTTTATTATATGAAAGTTAATAGTACACCGAGTGGTACCCTGCGAACAGAGTCTCCTTCGATCTTCCTAGATAAGTCGGGAAGAGGAAGGAATCTCTGCCGACATCTTCAAGTTCCTTTGATCTGTCGATCATCCAGCTTTTTGGATGAGTCAGACAAGTTTTATACTGGATAAAACAGTTTTATCTGTGCACGCACGCATATTCTGGAGTTTTGCTGACTCTTTCTGCGCCCACGCTCCATAACAAAACAAATAGCTGCCGCTTCAATTTCATGCAGGAATTTTGAGAAAATTATAGATTGAACGTTCAATTTTAGAAAAATTGGAAAATGTACCCAGATTCGAGATGGATTTTGTTTTGGATTTAACCATGTACTTGGCCGATTTTACTTGGGTGAACGGATCCACAATCCAGTAAGTGTTACGCGAAGTTCTTAGAAGGATAAACAAATGGGTTTTGAATGAAAATATTTAAGAAACAATATCTATGTATATTCTTTTGCGTTTGCTTACAGAATCCATGTTGCATTTACATGATGGATGCTACGGTAACGGTTTGATTGACGTTGCAGAAAAATTTGAATTTGGAGCATGCTCAATATGAATTGTCGAGGATGTCGGCAGAGTCGCTTCCTCTTTCCCCACTTATCTAGGAAAGATCGAAGCGACTCTGCTAGCAGGGTAACCGAGTGGTAGCAAATCGAGAAATCCGCTATCGCGCCAATTATGATATCATTTATATCCACAGATGTGTGATATCATTTTTGACCAATAAGCTCATGGTATTTTCGCGCGCTGTCAAGCACTTGTGGTTTTCCGTCGTTTGGTCTTTTCGGAGTTTTTGCGTTGGTCTTTTCGCGAGTCGAAGTTAAGTTTTAAGTTTGTTATGAAATGGAGACAAGCAGGTTTTCGAAAAACTGTATGCTTCCAAATGCCTGGGGTTTGAAAGCCCTCAAGCCATTATATACACTCTGTGGCTAAATTCGACCTCACAGGCTTCGCGACGGCAATCTAACAGAGAGAGTGGCGTTGGGATATGTCAAATCCGAGCAAACTCCCAACAGAAAAGATTATTTGTTGCATTGGGAGGATTTGTTATAATAAAAAGAAAATTACATAGCCTGAGAAAACAGCCGACATTTGGCGACGCTACCACTGGTTTCCCCGCCAAACGACGTCTGAGAAACGAGCGCAGAAATTCCATACTGATGACGCGTCACTACCCATATCTAGGTCTGGGTAGTGATGCGTCATCAGTATGGAATTTCTGCGCTCGTTTGTCAGACGTCATTTGGCGGGAAAACCAGTGGTTATGCGTCGCCAAATGTCGGCTGTTTTCTCAGGCTGAGAATTACATGGTCGCTTGGAGATACAAAATTTCTCTTCTCGTGATATTTAGTCTTTATTTCGCGTCCACAAAAGGCGTTGTTTTAGCTCACGTTTTTTTACTAGAGTGATTTTACTTACCCCGTGAAATAGATAGTAGAATACTACTCACTATTTTGCAATAATTGTCTTTTTTTTATTTTTTGTAGCTACTTTGCATTAGTTGTTACTAAATATTTCACGGTTCAAGTAAAATCGCTCTATAATAACACTTGTAATTACATTTAGTTATTATTCTCACTTTATGCAGCATCCTTTGTTCTCTAACTTAATAATGATAATAATAATTTACATTTATATAGTGCAAACCTCTAATATATGAATTTAGTATATACAGACTCAGTGATCTTGGTGAGATTTAAGCAATCCGATTGGTTCGCTATCTCGGACTATTCAACAATATTCACCTCCTAGCGAGTGGATAATGTGTGAGCTCGGTGTTTTTCCCATTTTTTTTAGAGAATGATCTCTTAAAAGTCGACAAAATCCTAGGGTGGACCTCTTTTAAGGCAGGAAAAGACTTCGAAGGATTCAAAACGGCGTTTTTCCATTTACTGTAGCTGAGTGTTGTGCTCGATGGATTGTTTACAACTCCCGTTTATTCGCGTTGAAGAGGCCGTTTCGTGAACTCACAGTTTCCTAACAAGAAACATTTGGCCCAAAAATCGAAGTTTATTTATGACAAATAAATGTGAAAGCAAATGTTTCCGGAAATTCTACGTTTCGAGTAAATAGGAAAAAGAATGCTACAGGAAGACGACGTCTTACCTCGAGCAACCGAGCCGCCATTTTTTTGTCAGCACTTCATGCCAAGAAAGACACAACAAACCTTTTTGGCTATAAACTTGGCGAGTCAACAGAAAACAACAAAGCCCTACTTTTCTTCTCAGGTAAGGAAACAATTCAAACTTTTAACGGTTCCATTTAAGCCATTACGCTGTTGTTTGCGAAGTGATAAACTTGCGAATTGCCATGTTTGAAAATTCTCCAAAGATCTATTTTTAAACTTACGCGTGATTTGATCCGTCAATCAATTCGTACGTTTTAATGGTTTCCTTTCTGATTTTGTTGAGATCACTTCGTGTGTATGTACTAAAACAATTATTCTTTTCAATCTCGGTAAATGGTGGCTTTAGGAATATTTACCTCGTCGCAATATTCAGCCACTTAATTCACCTCGATTTCAAAGAATAATTGTTAAATATTCGGTTGCGCTTTACAATATTGTTATATTAAATTTATGTTAAAGGTGAGTAAAGCGTAAGAAACTATAATTAAAAAGCTACCAAACTGTACACT